AAAACTAATTCCCCATTTTTTTGTCGAAGTGGTCGCTCGCAGAAGCGAAGTCCAAGATGAATTTCTACCGCACTTCTGCCAAATTTCGTCTCTGCCGAGGGGGTCGACAACAGAAGAGATAGCCGAATTGCCTTTCTGCCGAACTCCCGCAGAACGCAATTCTGCGCGAATAGGTCCTTGCGCCACTCTGCCCGAGTTGGAACGCATTTCCGAGAGTCGATTCTGCCGAGAGGATCGCCTGTAGAAATGTCTTCAGCGCTATACTTCGGCAGATGACAACCTTTCTGCGAATGGCCCCTGGTGCCAATTCGGCAGAGGATCTTGTACACTCTCGATTCTGCCGAGACCACTTCTACAAAAACACATGTCGATGTAGAAGTCATATGCAGAAATAGCGCTCTTGTTCTGCCATTCCGACAGAACCGCTTTTCTGCCACCAACGAAAGCTGCTCCTCTGCCACTTCCCGTAGAGCCTCGCCTTGTCGACGAATCTGCTATTCGTCGATGGGCTTTTCTGCAGGGCTCATCTCCGCAGACTTCGTTGATATGCTGCTTCAGCAAACTTCTGCAACCTTCGCAGGATCAGGGCTATTCTCAACAGCCAACACAGCTGATATCTTTACGAAGGCGCTTGCGCCTAAAGATCATCAGCACCTCATGTGCTAGGACCTTGATTATGTGTAGCTCTTTATATATTATCCTGACTAGCCTTGTGGCTTTCTCCCAGTGGCTGGACTAGTAGTGTCGCCCTGGTCTTGTTCTTTCCTTGTTTGTACTCTTTTGACTGGTCTATAGACCCCTACCTCAAAAGTTGGACTAGTAGTGCCGCCCTGAGCTGCTTGTCTCTCACCAGGCTCTGCGTTTATCTAGTCTAGGGGGTTGCTCAAACATATGTGTGTATGTTTAGTAGACTACATAGGGTCATGCCATAGAGAGTACAACCCACTAGCTATATACCCCTGTATACTCTCATTCTACTTCACAATTCTAACTCTGAGAGTTTGTGCATTGAAATTATCGAATTGGGGTGGAACTACTGTTCACTTGCTCGCGTGGTGACGATATGGCTTGTCATACAGTGGCGAGGTGTCGTACGATTTCCGATCCTCCCGTGACACTCGAGAAGCAAACCTGGTTCCTGCTTGAGAATCGAGCTGGATTCTACAGAAAAAAATCGCACATGCGATTCTTTCTGACACGCGAATCGCTCAAGTCGTGAGCGCGTCAGAAGGGTCGCACTGTACATTTCGCCAGGCTGATTGTAGACTCCGCCAATCATAATCGAGCAGTTCATTTCGTACTCATTTCCGTCTGAAATTCACAACAGTGATTCCAGTCAATCATCATGGGGCCCACCTTCGCTATTATAACATGGGGCTTTAAACTACTATATGTCCTGCTTGATCCATGTGCCGCCTCAAACTACTGTGCCATCCATGTCAAAGTTGTTGTTCGAGTTATCTTCATCATTATGGTCGACTCCAGTCCTTTGGAATTACTCTTTCATTTACAATACAGCAATTAGAAGTAGTTTTTACCTAGGTGGAGCATGTATTGCAACAACCAGAAGATAGGATAGGAGCATATGCAATGCAAGCCTGAAAAGTCAAAATATGCAGACGATTAGAACCCCGGCAGGGGTGTATCAGATTGTCGATACCGTAATCCCCCATATATAACACCCGCCGGAATAGTCACTCTATGGGTGGTTAATCCGGGGGGGGGGGGGGGGGGGGAGCTTTATGATATAGTGCATTTTTTAGACTGCCCGCTTTTCAGGCGACGAATTATACATAACCCCCCCCCCCCCCCTCGTTTTTATTGCTTGGAGTACACTGAGTCGATTGTACATTCAACCATATGGATCCTATCACTGCAGCAACGTTACAACACGCTTGAATTCCTACTCATTGTTGCCTACCAGATGAGCATCCAATGACTAGCGCAAGGCCTAGATCATGTCATAGGGCTTTCAGTTAGCAATTAGGGACATCATTCACTACCTATTACTCCTCGTCATCCTCATCTCCAGCGTGCCAAGCCTCAACGTCATCATCGTCGAACGCAATATCATCCCAATCGTACTCTTCAGTCCAGCAGGAGGCGGCCAGTCCAGCAAGTACCTCCGCCGCTGGCGCCATCTCTGCGGAGTCCACATCACTGCTCACTGTAGTGTCAGCCGCTTCAGCCGCAATTGCAGCTGCTGCTGGTGTTGTCGGTGGTGATACTGCAGCTGCTGCAGCGTTAAGTCGAGCCTCCGCCATTGCTGAGGATTCCACCACGTCGGACGTGCCAGGTGTCGTTGGTGCATGCTGCGGCAGGTTGACGTCGACAGCGACGTCAAACTCCTCGTCCTCCGAGAGCTCGCCGGCGGCCGGATCTACAAACTCGGCTTCAAAGAGGGGGTTCGTCTTCTAGCCGGTCGTCTCAACCTCCGCACGCACATCGTCCATGACCTCCAGCTCCGCCGTGTCGCGCATGTGGGCAAGGATGAGGTTGTGTTCAAGGCCATCGAGGTCGTTGGAGATGCTGCAGGTCTTGAAAGCCTTGCGGATGAGGTCGGCGGGGACTGCCTCATAGGCGGCCGCGATCAACTGCAGCACCACCTCCACCGATGGCTTCTTCATATTCCCTGAAGGGCGGACAGGGTTGGGTGGAGATTACAGCGCGCATTAGGCAAACCGAAGCGAGAACTGGAGCAACGCATCAAGTCATCGTAAAGCAAACGCTAAACAAGAACGTATGAAAAGCAAACCTCAAGGGTGAGAAGGGTTTCAACTGCGGGAGTAGTCGAGCCACAGCCGAACTCCTCAAACCAACCTGAGTAGGACCGGCAGACATGAGCCTTCAAGCATCGGTTCACAGCTACGTCGAGAGGTTGGATGATCGGCATGCAACCGCCAGGTATCACGACACGTGATATTTTAAAGAGACGCATCAACGCCACCACCCCCTCGGTCAGCTGGCCTTTGTAGGAGTCGAGGACGATGAGAGCCTTCTGCCGCCCGCCACGACGCGCAGGAAGTCGCTTCAAAAAGGGGACGAGGACCGTCGTAATCCAGTCCTTAACGTGGTCCTCATCCGTCCATCCCTTCCCCTGTGCACGGATGACGATTCCTGCATGCAATAATGAAAGAACCAGACAGCATAGTGTTAGTTTCAAACTCCGGTACATGTAACACTTAGTCACATCAAGACCCAGTCGATACTGACCTGGCAGGACTCGAATCTTCGGGAGCGTCTTGCGCTTGAAGATCACATACGGCTTGAGCTTCTGCCCGCCAGCAGTGACCGCCAGCATGACGGTCAACCGCTCCTTTTCGTAGCCAGCAATGCGAACATGTACCGTCCTTGCGGACTTCTAGTGTAGTCTCTTGGGGCATTTCTAGGAACAAGGGTGTCTGATCGGTGTTGATGATCAAGTCGTCAGCATACTTGTTGACCGTGCGCATCTGGCACACGAACTCCTAGAATTTCGCGACTTTAGCCTCGCAATCTGCAAAACGAGGAGACTACATACGATGTGAGTGTACATGCTTAAGTTCTTACAGTTCAATGAATGGGAAACCGCAAGCGAAATTGCTACAGAGCTCGCATATAAAAAACATAACGCACCGCTGGTTAGGAGCTGGCCCACCTTTGTTTTGACGCGCCGTGTCAATCCCCAACGGGTGCAGAACCGGAAGGTCCAACGGGATGACGCACGCTAGTCAACACCGGGATGGCGCTTCCGCATGAACTTCCTACTCCATTTATGCAGACAATTGACCGACATCGCCAAGCCACACGCACGGTGTGAGAGGAAGCGGTTGTACATCTCCTTCTCCATATCGGGGAACTTCGCCTTCCGTTCAGCACTGATGAGACGACGCCTGCATCCCGCCGCCGCCAAGAGTCGCACCTTGTTCTTCTTCCAGTCGTGTATCTGACAGGGTTGTACCTCGGCCATCTTCGCCAGCTTGCGATTCGAAAGCTTTGGGTCGGAGTCGAGAAGGGCCAACCAGTATAGCTTTTCCGCTGCTGTGCGCACGACTCTCTTGCACCTGGTCTTGCGATTTCTGGGGGAGGGAGGTACAACATCCCTATTAACTCGCGGCATGCGGGGACGACGAATGGGTGGAGGGAAAGATGGAACAATGACACGAGGAAGTGTCGGGGGCGGCTCTGGCTCTCCGTCGGCAGCATCTTCCCAGTGTAGCTCATCATCGTCTTGCCAGTCGGTGTCCCACTCCTCGGGACGACTAGCAATCGGAGACGATGGATAGGGAGGTGCGGGAGGAGCAGGTGGGGTAGGAGGTGCTGGAGGCGCGGGAGGCACAGGCGGTGTTGGCGGCGCAGGTGGTGCTGGGGGAATCGACGGAAACGGATGGAGAAGAAACTGACTACCGTGGGGAGGACGATGGGTTCGCAAAACTGAGAGGCCGCTAAAAGCACGGGCCGCCATGGCTGAATCTCTGCCTAGAAAATCTCCTCGGTGGATTGGTGCCCGAGGCTTTGTTAGAGAGCTTGGACATCGCGAGGGGTATTCTGCTGGGAAGACAATACTGGAACGCTAAAATGACGCAGCGACAAGAAACGGATGAACAAGAAACGTGGGCCGACCCCCTTCCCGAGCCGCGCACGGTTCTTGATAGCCAAAAAACACCATCGCATGCTAGCATGCGATGATGGTCTGGTCAAGAAGCTTCCAGAGGGCATCTTGAGATACCAGATTCCGTCGCATGTGTTGCGCTGGCAGCATCTAGTGCACCTAGCCGTGCACTCGCAGCGCTGGCAGCCGATGGCAGCAATCCGCTGGCTGTTGGCAGCTGCAGCCGCCAGGGATTTGCCACAAATCCTATAGCCCATGCCGAGTTCGACACGTTGGCATGGCCGTCCTATCATCCAAACAGCGCAAAACTCCCTAAGAGAAACCCAATGCATGTATAAGCCTAGAAACAATCAGATTGAAAATGAATTATACATAACACATGGGCGTTATATTTTTCCAGGCCACTATTAACACCCAATCATTTTTATAATGAATTATTACATCCACCATAGGGTGTTATACATGGGGGATTACGGTATGTGTTTGTTACTCCCTTGCAAGCCCACGGACTCCAGCCTTGACCAGACATTAGCTGTACAATTAGTTTGAACGGGCACGTTTCCTTGTTCCCCGTTTGCTGCAAATAATGCCACTAACACCCGGCCCTGTGGTTGTGATGGCGCCACATGGCTTTCCATAGCCACAGCATTGCTTCTGTCGCGACTTGTTGTGTCACCCCCTTGCAGCCTAAGGGGACTGTCACGCCCTTGCAATGGAGACCAAACAGCACGACCAGCTGCATCGGCAGCAGGGTCAGCACCTTCCCCATGATGCTGCTGCTGCTGGTGCTGCCGGTGCCAGGGCGAGCGGTGGCCATGGAGACGGCGCTCAGTAGGTACAGAAGGAGGGTTGGACGCTGCTCCCAGTGGTTGAGGGATGGACGGAGAGGTTCCGGGGAGAGACGATGCAAGGATCGATGGCACGCCGTTTCCTATCTCCTGCTCACCCCGATGCGCATCCCCATCATAGTCATTATCAACACTGGCAGAAAAAGCAGCACCAGATGCTCCTCCTCCCGGGCGGCCAGCACCCCCGCTGCCCCCCCCCCTACCAGCAGCACCATCATCACTGTAACTGCCACCGTAGTCGTCGTCCGTACCGTACCCGTCATCAACGTCATCCCTCCCACCATCGCTCCATCCCTGGCTCTCAACTCTGTCCTCCACACCACCACTTCCACCGCTCCCATTTCTCTTCTCACCATCCACTGCCAATCCACCGCCCAGCCTTCCTGCTGTGCCCGCCTTCCCATCCTTCCTCTTCCCACCTCCGCTTTCAATAAACGTATTGCCCGACAAGGTCCCTGCAGTCTCTTTTGTCTCTCCAGTTCCCCCTCCCCCCTCCAAGTGTGTTCGAACCCGTGGCTTCATGCGATTGGGCTTGCTGCTTCCCCCTCCTCCTCCCCCCTGACTGCCCCCTCCTCCCCCCGGAATTCCCCCTCCCCCTCCCTGGTTCCCAGGGCTATTGTTTCGACTGGATGGGGGGTCACGAGGCCGCATGGAGCGCTCGTTGGGAGGGGACGGGGAGGGGGAGCGCCCAGGGGCGGGGATAAGGGAGGGCCTGGGGGACGGCTTGGGGGACAGCTGGGGGGAACGGTTTGGGAGCTTGGGGGAGGGCTTGGGGGATGGCTTGGGGGAGGGCTTGGGGGAGGGCTTGGGGGAGGGCTTCGGGGAGGGCTTGGGGGAGGGCTTGGGGGAGGGCTTGGGGGAGGGAAGGGGGGAGGAGGGCGTTGGGGAAGGTCGTGGGGAGGGCCGGGGGGGTTGTTTTGGAGATGGTTGTGGAGATGGTTGGGGGAGAGGGCGGGGGATAGGCTGGGGGAAGAGCGCAGGGGTGGGGGAAGGGGAAGGGGAAGGGGTTGATGAGTTGTTCTTGCGCGGTGGTTGGGGGGAAGGGTTGGGCTTGCGGGGAGGGCGGCTTCTGGGGGGTGCCTTGGGTTTGGGTGACTTGGAGGGCTTGGGAGAGCGAAGGGGAGATGGGATATTGGATGGAGGGCGAGGAGGGGGCTTGGACTGCTTGGGGGATTTGGAAGGTGTAGTAGCGGGCTTTGGTGGGTTGGGCGACGGTGACGTGGAGGGGTGTGACTGCAGCGAGGGCTCCTGCAGGAGCTGGTGGTAAAAGAGGTCGGCCCAGACGTCTGGCACTCCAGGCTGGCACCAGTGCAGACAGTCGAAATACCGCACCTGGTGGGTGGTGATGGGGTGGGGATGCGGTGGGGATGGGGTTTGGGATGGATGGTGAGGAATGGTGATGGGTACAGCAGGATTGAGGGATGATGAGGTATGAAGCAGGAGTAGAGTCACCAAAAGTGGGAGAAGAATGGGGACGTGGAGAGCAAGGCACAACAAGCCGCAGAGACGCCCCGGCCCCCTCAGCCCCTCCCTCCCTCCCCCCTTCCTCCCTCGCGCGCACCTTGCCCTTGCTGCTGGACCAGTTGCCCACGTGCGCCTCAGGGCGCAGGGCGGAGATGCGCGCAATGTCCAGCAGGCGCACAGGGCCCCCCGGGGGGAAGGCTGCGCGCTGCATGGGGAGGAAGCGCGAAAGCTGCACGTTGTTGCGCTCCATGCGCCCCACCTGGGGGAAGGGGGGAAGGGGGCGGCGGTGATGTAGGGGGGTTGATGGGGGGGGTGGGGGGCGGAGGGGAGAGATTGGGGGGGGGATGATGGGGGGAAACGGTGAGGAGCAAGGAAGAGAGGGAGGCATACTTGGGAGAAGAGGGAGGCATACTTGGGAAGAGCACAGAGGAGGCAGCACAGGGGAAGCAGGAGTGACGAGGTGCATCGGTGGACAAAGGGAGTTGGAAAAACAGTGGGATAGGAGATGATCGGAGCAAGGAAACAGAGTGAAGCTTGGAAGATGGTGTGAAACAGGGAGCATCCCCCCTTCTCCCCCCCCTTCTCCCCCCCCTTCTCCCCCCCCTTCTCCCCCCCCTTCTCCCCCCCCTTCTCCCCCCCCTTCTCCCCCCCCTTCTCCCCCCCCTTCTCCCCCCCCTTCTCCCCCCCCTTCTCCCCCCCTTCTCCCCCCCCTTCTCCCCCCCCTTCTCCCCCCCTTCTCCCCCCCCTTCTCCCCCCCCTTCTCCCCCCCTTCTCCCCCCCTTCTCCCCCCCTTCTCCCCCCCCTTCCCTCCACCCTTCCCTCCACCCCCCCACCCCCCTGCGCGCGCACCTCTTTCCTGGTGAGCACGTGGCCGGGCGACCCGCACAGGCCTGGCCCGCCGAGCTTCTTGGCGTTGTGCTGCGGGGAGGCCGTCATGAAGAACGCCAGGGGGCCGCCGCGCTTGCCACGCCACGCGGACGCTGCTGCTGATGGTGTTGTGGATGCGAGTTGCCGTCCGTGTGCATGTGCCGTGCCGTTGCGTGCAGCAGCGTCCCAGAACGAGGGGGAGGACACGTTGGCTGATGCGGCAGCAGCTGCGCGAGGGGACTCGAACAGCCGGCGGATCGTCTGCATGGCCTTGCTGCGGGTGACAAGGGCAGGGGCAGAGAGACATTGGGGGGAAACGGGAGAGAGATTGGGAGGAAGCATGGACGGCGGATAGAGTGCTTGCCGTGTAACCACTCTATCGTCAACCAGCCATGAAGGCCAATTCATTCGAGCCCAGCAAGCGCAGGAACGACCAACCAACGATCAACTAGGGCCTGCCTTTTCACCACGGCTTTCAAGTCCCTCCCTGCATTTCATCCACGTTACCAGCAATGGCCAGTACAGTGGATTGCGCTTTGCCTCGAGACCGCAACCCAGTTGCACTACTGGCGAAAAAACGATCCCAAACCAACTCAACCCAGCTATCACACGCCATGCGAGGCCATGCGAGATTCGGCGAGCCGGGTAACCAGGCTGGGTTGCGCAATCCATGTACCACGACTCCCCTGTAGACAAGCACTCATCCGGCAGACCGACCGTAGTAGAGCATCACCCGTCGCCCTACATCCAATACAGTACTAGATAAGTGCGCCGCCTCTTTTTGACAAAACGTCAAGTCCACTAACGAAAGACCCCTCCTCTGCTTCTCTTCCTCTCCATCTATTCTCTACAAATTGTCCCGCACAACTGCTCCTCAAAACGCTCAATAGCAAACAACACCTTCGATCATACACCTAGAAAAAAAGGAGAAAGAATTCGAAGAAGAAGAAGAAGAGAAACACCTCCAATCATCCCCATCATCCCCATCATCCCCATCATCCCCACTACCCAACCACCCTCCCCTCCCCCCTCCCCCGCGCCCTACCTGTACCCCGAGTACGCGTCCACCCCCGGCAGCACGCGCCAGTGGCGGTCGGTGATGGCCATGGCGGACGCCTTGCTGGTGCGCAGCGTGCGCCAGTGCGTCGCGGTCTCCAGCACCACCACGTCCACGGCGCCCAGCAGCGCCGCCCACTGCGGGTTCGCCGTCTGCACGTCGATCGCCACGTCCTCGGGGCCCGCCTCCGCCGCGCGGTACCGCGGAACCAGCCGCGCCAGCATGGATTTCTCTGCGCGGATGCGGGATGACGGGAGGGGGAAGAAAACGGGGGGAGGCCGTGGCGGTGAGCGATTGGCGTTGGGGAAGGGAGGGAGGAATGGACGGGAAAGAGGGAGCGGGGGCGGTTCGATATGATGTTTGCTGTGATATGAACTTGACTCTCACGACTGTCGACTCTAGCGGGGCACTTTGCACCACCCTGTTCGGTCTGCCTCCACCGTGTCTCACGCCTCTCCATACCACCTCTTCCCACTTTCCCCATTCCCCACTTCCCCCCCATTCCCCCGCTTCCCCCCCTTCCCCTTCCCCCCCTCTTTCCCTACTCCGTCGCCGCCACATCCCCGCGCCCCCTTACCCTGCGTCACGCGCATGAGATAGTCGTCCCAGATCCCCACGATGCGCCCCCCCACCGCGGGCACGCGGTAAATCAGCGCCTCCAGCTGCGGGGAGCGCTGCCCCAGGGGCCCGCGCGGGAGCTTGTGGCGCACGGGCGCGGAGACGGCGGTGACCGCGCGGAGTTGGCAGAGAATGGCGGGGAGGAAGTTGGCGATGGCGATGGAGTCACCGATGATCGCCAACGTGCGATTGGCGAGTATGCGAAGGAAGCCCCTGCGACGGAGGAACGTGTGCGACCCGCGCGGCGTATGCACGAGTGAGCCATGGGGAACGGGGCATGGCAAGTGCATGCGCCATGAGGCATGTATGGGGGCTCTAGATAAAGTCTTTCGGGTTCATGAGTACACTCTATAGACTACGTAGCGCCCGGGGGGTGGTGTATGGGCATGGGTCATGGGCCATGGGGTCATGGGCCATGGGCCATGGGCCATGGGCCATGGTCATGGGTCATGGGCCATGGTCATGGGTCATCGGTCATGGGTCATGGGTCATGGGTCATGGGTCATGGGTCATGGGTCATGGGTCATGGGTCATGGGTCATGGGTCATGGGTCATGGGTCATGGGTCATGGGCCATGGGTCATGGGTCATGGGTCATGGGTCATGGGTCATGGGCCATGGGTCATGGGTCATGGGTCATGGGTCATGGGCCATGGGTCATGGGCCATGGGTCATGGGTCATGGGCCATGGGGTCATGGGCCATGGGCCATGGGCCATGGGCCATGGGCCATGGGCCATGGGCCATGGGCCATGGGCCATGGGCCATGGGCCATGGGTCATGGGTCATGGGTCATGCATGGGTCATGGGCCATGGGTCATGGGTCATGGGTCATGGGTCAAGGGCCATGGGTCAAGGGCTAAGACAAGGCAGAAGGGAAACGGGCTAAAGCCGGCAAGGTCTGTCGGACAGTCACAGCGACGGGGCACATGAACCGCATCCCACGGTGCTTCATGTGCCGACGAACAGTGAACAAACAGTGAACAGTGAACAAACAGTGAAGTAGGCTGGTAGTCGAATGGAATAGTTGAATGAAAAATGGAATAGATTAATGGAATAGTTGAACGGAATAATGGAACGATTTGCAGTGGCAGCGGCTAGCGTCGCACCTGGGGTTGAAGCGGATGAAGCGGCGGCACGACGTGGAATACCACGAGTACCGCACGTACGACGAATCGCGCCGCCCATTGCTACCGCACCGCGTCAGGCCGAGCTGCAGAAGGGGGGTGGTATGGACGAGAGGAGCGCAAGGAGCGGAGACGGAGCGGAGGCGTTAAAGCAGGATGCGAGGAAGCGGCGGAACTCCCTAGTCTTGGTCTCGAGGATCGGGATAAATCTCCGCTTTGCCTCCTAAAGAGACTCCTGCCTACCGCACGACACAGGGTACGTTACGACCGGCACGACTGTCGCGCTCTCGCAGTTCCCGCCTATCCGGAAATTAGTCAGCCCCTCGCTGCTGCCACCAGTCCGAGCGCGCCAGTTTTCCGCCTTTAGCACGTGTGACAGCACTGGCGCGCAATGTCGTGCGGGGGTCTACCTCGTCCTTGCGGAGCGAGGCGACGTACGAGGTAGGGGCAGGAGTCGTCGTAGGGCGGGCGTGCGAAGTCAACGACCCATTGACCTTCGAATATGTCGCACTGGCCGCTCCCCGCTCCCCCCGATGCACGCACTTCCCCTTGCCGCTCGCCTTTGCCGCTAATCCCTCCCTTGCCGACATTTTCTCCCTTGCCGCTAGACTTCCCCGCGCCTTTCTTCCCCTTGCGGCCGCTTCCCCCACTACCAGCGCTACCGCTAAGCGCTGGTCCTATAACGAGTACAAGCAGCAGCAGGAGCAGGAGGGAAGGAACTGCTGCCAAAGTCCTTCGTCTGCCCGTGCGACGTCGCATGCAGTCGCCAGAGTGCACGCCGTCGTCATGATGGTGGAGTATATGCCGTCCCGTCTGCCTATCCACCATTTCAACTACCGGCCGCCGGCAGCCTGACGATTTTCATCGCCGACTAACTAGACTGCGAACGGAAACGAGCGCGAGGGAACTTGGATCCTAGACTACTGCTAGTTTGATGCGGCGAACACAACGCAAGTTTTGTTGAGGTGGTCCGAGTTGATGGCGCGGGATTTCTGGGTTACGGCTCTGGTGGAAGCACGGAGTCAGCGGCCGTGAGTAGCTAGAGTAGCGCTTGCTTAGCGGCTGGGGTGGCGAGGCGAAAGGGGAATTGTAGGTCAAGACGAAATGGAGTACATGACGGCATGCCTGATTGTTCGTCCAGTAGGAGAGTCGTATGAGGGGTCTGCAAAAGAACTTACACGGCAGCAATGACGGCTGCTCCCCGTGGTCGCCTGTGCGCTTGTTCAGGGATCGAGAGAGGGGTGATGGGAAGGAGGAGGCCAAATCTGTGGAGGAATGGCGCCGCGAGATTTGGAAATTTCGAGTCGCACAATTGCCCATCTAGAAGCAATGTCGGCCGGGGTCCCGCAACTCCCGCCACAGTAATTTCGGTGGTAACCCGTTGCCGTCGAAACGAACCCTCACACGACAACTTTTGGCTGCGTGGTGCATCCCTTGCTCGCTAGCGAACGGAAAATGGTCGGCGAATGACCGTTTCTAACGAGAAATATGGTATGATACATCATCAGTTAGTTTTCGCCACCAGGGCTCACGAGCTGTGTACGCCAATAAGCACTAATAGCACAACATTGATTATGCAACACGACGGATAGCTCAGCTGAAAGGTCACTATTTCGACAAATCTTGCATTTTGAGCACATAAAGTGGAAGCCAACTAGACATAACACGAAACCAGGGCGTATACCATGAATGCTTCCACAAAGGATGTCCTAACAACAGGGAATACTGCACGTTGAACCCAAGTCTCCTACTTGCCAACTCCACCACCACCACCCAATGCATCACCAACAAAACAAACCCCTGCTAGAAGAGACTTGGTGTCGCATCCATCACCAACCCCTGTTCCGCAACCCTCACTTCCCTCCCTTCTTCTTGTCCCGGACCATCTTGTTGAGCCCCGGAGCTGTGATCTTAGCGTTGGACATCATTGCAGACACCAGGTCCGGCAGAGGCACGGCCTTGATGAGCTCCCTCTCCCGCGCTGACAGGTCCGGCGAGCGCAGGAAGAGGTCCACGGCTTGTTTCACGGCTGGGGGGAACAGGATGATGGAAAAGGGGTCCGGGAAGTAATGGGAAAGAGGCGAGGACGAGGGAAGGACAAAGGAAGTGAGTGAGAATGAGGGGGGAGGAGGGAAAGCAAATGATGATGGGAAATTGATATTGTTGAGGAAACCTGTTTTGTGTGTAAGTGCTGAAGTCATGTGGATGAGAAAAGAGCAGTGGCGGCTTCGACTGAAACGACCACAGTAGAAGAAGATGGAGTCAAGCTGTGACCTGCACCATTTTGGAGGATTTAAAGAACAATGTTTGGGCGGATAAGAAAAGCACTCAAATCGAGATGGCAGGTGCTCTCACCTTTGCCCTTCTTGAGATGCCCCGGGGTAATTTTGACCCGGTACTTGAAGTTGGAGAGGGCATTCACAGGGCCGCACACGGGCACAGCATACAGCAGCACGTCTGAGGGGAGAGGCACGCCCGTGAGAGAGTCGATCTCCGTGAGCCGCTCCCTCTCCTCATCGCCCACCTCTGCCACGTCTTCCTCTGCTAGGATCGCCTCTACTTCCGCCTCCTCCGCTCGCGCCCGCGCCCGCCGGCTCAGCTTCTCCCCACCCTCTCCCTCACCCCCTGCCCCTCCCTTTCCTGCTTCCTTTTCTCCTCCTCCTCTACTTCCTGTGTTCTCATTTGTCCCACGTGCCTCCTCCCTCCCTGCCTCTTCTGCCGCGTCCGCCTCTTCCGCCTCCCCCTCACCCTCCTCCCCACCACGCCCATCCCTGTCCCCTAGACTTGTCACCTCTAATTGCGCCGAACCATCTTCCATCGCTCCACCAGTCCCTCCTCCTGGTGTCCCCGTTTCAATGCCCCTTTTCAACTGCTCCTCTCCTCCCTTATCCCCCTCCACCACCCTCACATCCTCACTGCCCCTCGCCTCCAAAATCTGCACCTCTTCGCCTCCCTTGCTCGCCTCACCATCTGCATCAGCACCAGCAGTGCACTCCTTGGCCCGGTGCCCCTTGCCCTTGCACTTAAAGCACACCAACTCATTAGACGCAGAGCCTGCACCCTTGCCCCTGCCACCACCGCCACCACCACCAGCACCACCAGCACCACCGGCACCAACAGCATCAGTAGCAGCAGCGCCCTTGCTGCCCTTGCCTGGCCCTTTCTTTCCAGCCGATGCTGCCTTGTTGCCTGCTGACTGGAAAAACGGTGAAGAGGCATGGATTGGGGGTTGGGAAACGCGGCGGAGTGAGGGGACTGCAGCAGAGGGAGATACGTAGAACCATGGATGGGAAAGCTATGAGTTTAGTTTGTGAAACTCTCCAATCCTTAGATTCAGAAGAGGGAAGGGCAGGGTAGCACAAGCAAAAAACAAGGCAGAACAAGGATGAGGCAGAGAAACAGAAGGAGAAGGGTTGCTTTGTGGAAGAGAGAACATGTAGCAGAGAAACAGAAGGAGAGCCAAAACGTCATGTACTGCCATGGCATGCACTGCATACCCCAAGCAAGGCCAGTCGCAGCTGTCGCTCCTCCTCGTCCTGATCCGCATACTTGCTCTGCTGCTTCTTGCTCTGCCCTCTCTTGCCCCTTGCCCCCTTCACGGGCTCAAAACCCTTCCCCCCTTTTCCCTGCTCCTGCTCCTCTCCGCCCTTCATGTCGCCACCTGTCTTCCCACCCGCTCCCTTCTTCCCACCCTTTCCTCTTTTGCCCCTCCCCCGTTCCTCCTCCTCTTGTTCCTCCTCCTCCGCCTCCTCCTCCTCGTCCTCCCTCTTCTCTACTCCCCCTCCCCCACTTCCCCCAGCACCCTCGTCTCCCGCAACACCGTTCTGCTTCCCACCATCCCCTGCCCCCCCTCCTTTCTTCAACCTCCTCCGCTCAGCCCTGCTCACATACGCCCTTTCCCTCCTCTGCCCCCCGTCCTTGCCACCCTCATCCTCCCCTCCCGCCCCCTCTCTCTCACCCTCCTCCTCCTCCTCCCCCTCCCCTGCCGCGCCCACCTCCTGTAACCCGTACTTGGAAGCAGAGGTTCCGTGAGAAGAACGCATGGAGGGGGCAAGAGCGGCAGATGCTACGACCTCACCCTGGTTCTGCTTTGGTTTGTCTTCCCCTATACCAGCTTCCCTCTTTGCTCTGCCCATCCCTCCGGTCCCCCCCACTGACAGCACTGCATCGAGCATATCCTCCAGCCCCCCCTCTTCCTCCTCCTCCTCTCTCTCCTCTTCCTCCTCCACTTTCTCTGGATTGTCTCCCCCCTCTTTCTCCCCCTCCCCACCCTCCTCCCTTTCCCCTCCAGTCATCCCCTCATCTGCAGCAGAACCCACCACCTCCCCCTCTCCCTCCTCTTCCAAAACCCCTTCCCCCTCTCCCTCCCCCACCCCCGCCCCTGCGCCAACACCCACCTCCTCCCCCCTCCCACCTCCCTTCCTCACCCCCACCCCCGCCTCCCCCTCCTCCGCCGCTCCCCGTACCCGCCTCTCCCCCAGGTGCGCCCCCAAGCAGCTCTCGTCCACGCGGAACACAAACCCAAACGCCATCTGCAGCGGCACAGGCGGCAGAAAGTTCTTCTTCCCGCGGATCATGAACGACCCCACTGTCAGGTACTCCCCGGTGGGAGCAGTCTTGCTCACCTGGTGCGGGTGCACCCACCACGCGCTGGTGACTACCTTGGAGTCCCACGCCGCAGACAGGCACACCGTGGCGGCGCCGGCTTGTGCGAGCGTGAGGGGGGGGATGGGGGCGAAGCCATGCGGGTCCGTGTTCCGGATGATGGTGCTGGCTGCTCCGTGCAGGTCCGCGTGCACGTACCTGGGAGGGGGGTGGGGGGTTAGGGTTGGGGGTGGGGGTGGGGGTGGGGGTGGGGGTGGGGGTTGGGGGGAAGGGGTGAAGGGTGGGTAGGGGAGATTAAAAAGCGGCCAAGGTGCCAGGGAAGGGAAAAGGAATGCACAGAAAGGAATCAGATGGCGATGGGAAAAGGAGACGGACGCATGCAGCGTTGGACTCACAGGTCCCCGCGGCGCATGTATTTCTTGACAAGCATCTCGTTCTGTTGCGCGTCGCGGCCGCTGATGACGACGTAGTTCTCGCTGGAGATGAACCAGTGGAAGCGCTCGAACCAGTGCACCTTGCGCATGTGCTGCACCGACGCCACTAGCTTCGCCTGGCGCGTGGGGAGGGGGGAATGGGGAATGGGGAGTGGGGAAAGGGGAAGGCGAAAAGGGGAAAGTGAAGGGGGAAACGGGAAGGGGGAAGGGGGAAGGCCAGTGGAAGCAGTCAAACCAGTGCTCTTTGCGCATGTGCTGCACCGACGCCACTAGCTTCGCCTGTCGCGTGGGGGGAGCATGGTAGGCGTGGTGGAGGGAAACGCAGGGGAAAGAGGCGAAAAGGAGAAAGAGGGGAGGGGGACGGGAAAGTGGAGACTTCACAAAAGAAGCTCCAGGGCTTTCCTTGGCTGAAGAAGGAGCGGGAGAAATGGTCACGGTAAAAAGAAGTATTGTAATTTCCCGTGCATCAGACGTAGGAGTTGCACCAACCACACATAGGGGTATGCTTTCCTCCATGCAGTCAAACCTGGCAAGCACCTTATCCTAGATGATACCATGCACGTCGAGTGCTGGGAAAGATGGGAACGATGAAAACGATGGCACGAGCATGAGAAGGAGAAGGGGAAGGGGAAGGGGAAGGGGAAGGGGAAGAGGAAGGGGAAGGGGGGAAAAGGGGGAAGGGGAAAGGGAAGGGGAGAAAAAGGGGAAGGGGAATGGGAATGCGAATGGGAACGGGAGCGGGAACGTGATGAAACGCGAATGCGAATGCAAATGAGAATGAGAGTGAGAATGAGAATGAGCGACGGACCTGAGCTAGCTGCTGGGTGGTCTTGGCGTGGGCGGCCTTGAGTGCTGTCTCGTGCGCCGCCTCCGTCTTGTTGCGCTTCTCCTGCTGCTTCTTGCGCGACTGGAACCACATGCGCGCATTCGCGTACGCTGACAGGGAGTAGTCCACTTCCACCTGATGGGAGGGGAGCAGGAAATAGAGAGCACGGAGGGGGCGAGTCATACTATTTACACGCACCTGCGCACAATGGCTTAGACTGACAGAGAGTAATCCAACTTATAACTGTGTGGAGGGTGGGGGATGATGGGGCTAATCACATTGCACAAACACGGCCACACACGCACATACACGAGACACACGCTATCTCCCCAACTCACCCATCCACTGATCCATTCACCACAACTCCTTCCCTAAAATCGCCCCAGCATCACGCAAACCTCCCCCCTCTTCCCTCCACCACCAACCGTTACTAGCATCACCACCCCTACCATCACCACATCTCCCCACCACAACCACCCACCCCACTGTCACAACAACCACCACCCCCACCCACCAGAGCAGCGGGGGCCGTCCTCTCCTCATCGTCCATGCTGTCGAGATCGGGCGGCGTGAGCAGCACGGCAATGCGCCCCCTGTCCAGGTGCAGCGCCGCAATCAGCGCCGCCACGGGGTTCCCTGCGCGCCGCTCCTCCTTCACCATCGCCGCCAGGTCCTGCCAGTCCATGCCGCCCGCCAGCGCCTCGCGCACCGCCAGGATGGCGGCGTCCACGTCAGCGAGGTTCTGCTCGATGAGGCGTGCCTTGTGCTCTGCCACGTCCACCTCCTGCTGCAGTTGTTGTGCACGCTTTTGCTGATGTGGGGAATGGGGAAGGGGCGGGGAGGGAGGGGGGATTGAGAAGGGGGAAAGGGTGGGGAGATGGGGTGTAAGTGGCACAGGGGGGACATCTCAGAAGTTCACTGGCAGCGGAGGTGAGAAGAGGAGCACAGGAAAGGAAGGTTGACAGGAACCGGGGAGGCAGGAGCATGGAGAAAGATACGCCAGTGAGGAGGGCGGGGGGTAAAAAAGGAGAGGACGGGAGGAGCAGGTGGGGAGAGGAGCGAACGGGGAAATGCACAGGCCTGACCTGATCGGCTCTGATCTTCTCCAGCTTGCTGGCAGCTTGCTTCTCCGCTGCTGCTCTCTGCTGCGTGGCCCTCTGCCCCTCGTACCGAGCAAAGAACTCGTCCATGGCGCCATCAAACGTCTCAAACTCACGCAGCGCCAGGCTCCCATTCTCCCCGCCACTCCTCCTCACTCCTCCCCCTCCTCCTCCTCTTGCTGCTGCTGCACCTGCTGACTCTCCTCCTGGTGCTGCCCCTGCTGCTCCTCCTCCTGCTGCTGCTTCGCCGGCCATGAGCTGCAGCTGGCGCAAGGCCAGAGGCCAGAACTCCTCGTACACAACGTCATCTTCCTCCGCCCCATCGCCCCCTGCCTCACCCTTTGCTGCGCCTTCCCCCTGCCCTTCCCCCTCCGCCCCTTCCGCCCTTGACTCCCCTCCACTCCCCTCGCCTGCCCGCTTTGCTTCGAAGTGCTGCTTCTTTTCCCCCCTCTGACGCCTCCTCTGCGCCTGCTGTGGCTGCTGCTGCTGCCGCTCTTGCTGCTGCTTCTGCTGCTGCTCTCGCCGCAGCAGGATGTAGCCTGTTGGAATGACCTTCATTTGAGTCACATTCACGAGCCACTCCTCAAACGCACTCACTGCAGCCACCACCTTCTCTACTATCACCTCCTCCTTTCCCTGCAGACCACCCTTGCTTATCACAGCACACGGAACTAAGCTGCCAACACTCCCACCACCAGCAACACCATCAGCAGGTGTTGCACCAGCACCAGCACCATCATCAGCAGCAGCATCAGCATCAGCATCAGCAGTATTAGCAGCAGCAGGAACAGCAGCCTCCATCCCTAGTCTAACAATGTGCTCGCAGATAGGCAAGCCATACCCCAGCACAGACGCCAGCCGTTCCTTCAACACTCCCACCCGCTCCTCCCACTCCCCCTCCCCTCCCTCCCCACCCTTCGCTCCCTGGCCCTTCTTCCCCGCTTTTTCCTTCCTCACCCCCTTACTACCTTTCCCCTTCCCCGCCCCTCCTCCCCCCCACCCGCCCCAGCCCCCCCTCACTGCCCTCCTTTCCCCTCTCCCCCTTTTCACCAGCATCCCCGCTACTCTTCCCCCCCTCGCCCTCCGCCTCCCTCCCATTGCCTTCCGCGCCCCCCACTGACGCTTCCCCCACAAGTGCTTTGGTGAGGGCGGAGGGGGAGGAGAGAGTGAGGGGGCGGAGGGAGGAGAGGGGGTAGGGGTGGTTGGGCATTATGGCAATGCCCTTGTCGTCATCCCTGCCAGGAAGGGGGAGAACGGGACAGACGGTAGGGGAGGAAGGGAGTGTAAGGTGGGACAGTGTGCGGAGCAGGGAGAAAAAGGGGAAAGACGATGAAGGGGACGGGAAGGGTATGGGGAGAGGAAGGCTGGAGAAGAGGTAAAGAGGGCGAAACGGAAGGAGGAGCAGTGAGACCAGCAGAGACGCGGTAAACGGGGGAGTGGGGCCCACAGGGCATCGCCTAGGGAAATGCTGGTGCTGGTGTCTCTTCTGGTGATAGAGGTTCAGGGTTCCGGGTGGTCCACACCCACACCCACACGCACACCCACACCCACACGCACACCCACACGCACACCCACACGCACACGCACACGCACACGCACACGCACACCCACACGCACCTGTGCGATCGCAGCAGAGTGAGCACGGAGTAGTTGCAGTCGGTGAGGATGACGTTGCCCCCAGCGTACAGCTCCAGCAGCAGATGGTGCGCCGACTCGCCCACGCCAAACTTGAAGTCCACCACCTGGTGCCATGCCATGCCATGCCGTGCCATGCCGTGCCGTGCCGTGCCGTGCCGTGCCGTGCCGTGCCGTGCCGTGCCGCGCCGTGCCGTGCCGTGCCGTGCCGTGCCGTGCCATGCCATGTCATGCCAAGAGTGGGGGAGAGGATTCAAGAGTCACTTTATGCATGTGTTTAGTAGTGCTGGACTTTCTAAGGCATACACCTTCTAGTGACTGCACTTTCTAAGGCATACACCTTCTAGTGACTGCACTTTCTAAGGCATACACCATCTAGTGACTGCACTTTCTAGCGCATGAGCCATATGCACCAAAAACCCCACCAAGCCCCCCGATCCAGCTCTGGCACCTTTTCCCTCCCCAGCATTACCCTGTCGATTCCGATCTGGGAAATGTCCTCGAGGCGGCGAGTGCGGATGTGCTTCCTCAGCTTAAGCGTGAAGCCCGAGGGCGTCACACTCTTGTCTCTGCACCACCACCACCACCACCACCACCACCACCACCACCACCACCACCACCACCACCACCACCACCACCACCACCACCACCACCACCACCACCACCACCACCACCACCACCACCACCACCACCACCACCACCACCACCAACAACAACAACAGCAGCAGTGCGTGTGACACACAGTGCACAGAGCGAAAGTTGACATCGGTGTTAGAGGAGCGGAACAGAATACTGGCGCCACAGAGAACTAGCATGTGAGACAGGCAGTGGTATATGCTGCACAGGAGGTGGATAGCAGCAGTGGCAGCAATAGCTGCAGCAATGGCAGCAGCAGCAGCAGCAGCGGCAGCAGCAGCAGTGGCAGCAGCAGTGGCAGCAGCAGCAGCAGCGGCAGCAGCAACAGTGGCAGCAGCAGCGGCAGCGGCAGCAGCAGCAGCGGCAGCTGCAGCAGCAGCAGCAGCAGCAGCAGCAGCAGCAGTGGCAGCAGCAGCAGCAGCAGCGGCCGCGGCAGCAGTGGCAGCAGCAACAGCGGAAGCAGCAGCAGCGGCAGCAGTGGCGGCAGCAGCAGCAGCAGCGGCAGCAGCAACAGCGGCAGCAGCAGCAGCGGCAGCGGTACCTGGCGAAGTTGGTGGTGTGGAAGCGCATGCCGCTCTCCAGCAGCAGCAGCACCTTCTCGCTCTCCCCGCTCTCCGACACGCCGCTGCTGCGCGCCAGCTTCACCACGTACGTCTACGGAAGGGGAGAGGGGGGGGAGAGGGATAGGGAGGGGGAAGGAGGAGGGGACGAAGAGGGGAGGGAGAAACGGAGGAGGAAGAGGGGGAAAGGGGCTGAGAAGAGTGGCGAGAGCAGAAATGAGGGAATCTGATATCGAGGAGAGGAACCATTTGATCAGCTCAAAGGTCAACTCGGAAACGAATCGGACGTGCACGGTATACTAGGCGGATCCTCGACGCTAGCATGGCGAAGCCCAAATTGATGCCAGATTCCCACTACCAAATTGATTATCAGCTCAGGATACTAGAATACTGAACATTTCTCGCAATCCCGAGCGGAGGGATGATATTTAAAGCCCTGGGTCCGGATTGTCCAAAAGTTAAGCAGTTGAACGGGAAGGGGGGGGGGAGGGGGAAATTTGGTTGGATAGCGAACCCCAAAACATTTTCGCCAACCTCCACGCCCCTAGTAAAAAGTTCGCTACACCGCTTCAAGTGTTTAACAAACCCCCCTTCTTGGACAATCCGGACTGCGGGCTTTAAGACTCTTGCGAATCAACCGTCGTCTCGGAGGCGACGGTTACCTTAGGACTCAGGTCGTATAGGTTCGCGACTCGGAAACCAATCAGCCGCTGACGTAGGCATGCCACCTCAGCGGCGATGTCCACCGCAGACATCCGCTGTTTCCCCATGCTGAAGTGGACGATCCGCAAACTTCCGTAGATGCACGGCTGGTATGATAGTTTAGGCGCACGTTGCGGTTCTCCGCGTATCGTGCGAAGGAGATACAGCGACGAACAGAGACCACCCGAGGCGGCGAGTCAAGGAGCAAGGAGGCAATCGTGTCGCGAAACGACGTCGGGGAAGAATAGCCTAACCGCACCTGACGGCACAAGCTGATAGATCAAATTCAGAAAGCTGATCTGTGGAGCTCGAAGCAGAGACTGGAGGAGGTGCTTTTTGGCTACGTGCAGTGGAGTGCACCTCGCGGGAATGAGAGGAAAGATGGTGGTGTGACGCAATAAACTGTACAGATCATGAATGAGGTGTAGGATTAAGAGGTGACCAAGGCTCACTGTTCACCTTATTTTGTGTATTTCATTCACAAGTACTAGGCATTCAAAATTTCCAATGGAAATAATAGGGGATGCAAAGACATAGAAAGAAAATAAATTAAACGATAAATAGGACATCCATATCGCGAAGCTTGGATATGGACGCAATTTGACAAATATGGAATCGTGCAGAGAACATTATGTGAACTTAAGTCATGCAAAGCGCTGGCACCTCTGGTAAAAATTTGTTGGTGCTGTGTGGTATTGTTTATTCTGGCCCAATGAATCGCTGGTGACCTGAACATAACATGTTAGGCAAACAATGTAAGCCAATATCAAACAAACCATTAGATATATACGTGCACAGAATGAGTGGGAGTTAGAACTCACAACCTCCATGGTGTAGTACAGCCGCTACTACAAGGGTTCTTACTTTCCCTGCACCGTCGAATCCTGTCTGGGGGGCACAGACGACAGAAAGCTGGTTGAGCTGGAAAGCATACCCTTGTGATCTGACGATGCAGATTGGGCTTCTGACTCGGATCGTAAGCACGCCAGGTCAGTCGAACACCCCAACGAGCTGCTACAGGCTCGACATCCAATCACAAGGCCAGCATACTCCATCGCAGTCACCACGTCATTACCACCTTGCATGTTATTAACAAGGTACTTGCTGTGCTGGCCACGCCAGCTACTGTAATCACGCATTGATGCACGTGCGAGTGCGGCACGTCTTTTGTGTGTGTCAGGCAGTGCTGGAGCTCCAAAACAGTACAGTACTCCCACATTGCCCGCGTGAGCCGCAGCAGTTTGCCCGCTGCGCTCCTCCCGCTGCCCGCCTGCCATTCCACTCCCCTGCTTCGTCCGCGGAACCCCGCCTCCGCTTGGGCAGGGTTGTTGCAACAGCAGCCCCCGTCGAACCGCGCCCCTCCCCAGACCGCGAAATCTCATTCTCGCTCCGCTCTCCCCTTCTCCTCCTGCCTGTTCAGCCCCCACCCGTCCTTCCTAGATTTAGTCTGCGTACTTTGTTCACCCAAGTTACCACGTTTCTCGTTCGCCCTTCATATTCCATTCACTCCCTACCTAATCGACCGCGCGGTTTCAACAAGACACACCGCAACGTTTGCCCTTGCACATTTTCTCCGACAGTACGGCGCCCGTCAGCCCTTTGTTCGCAACATTTGCTCTTGTGCTATTCCCCACAGCCCACGCCGTCTCATCTGCGCTTCGCCCGCTGCGCCTGCTATCTGCTCCGCCCTCTCCTTTCCCACCCTCCGTATCCCCCGCCCTCTATCCGTTATCCGCCGTGCCCTCGCGCGCCCGCCGCCATGTTCGCCATCTTCGACCGCATCCACTCCCCGCAGCTGCCGGGCGGGCCTCCGCCGAGCGCGCTAGAGAGGTGGGTCGCACCCACCCCGCCGCACTCCCCGCAGCCTCTCCTTCCGCCTGCCGCGCTCCTTGGACTCGCCGCCACGGTACACAATATACCACCATCCCCAACACCAGTACCGCCTCGTCGTTTCTTCCCACGTTTCCTCGCCCTCGCCCGCACTCACCCTTTTGACATCTTGCGCGTTTTTCGGGCTCTCACGGACTCCTTCTCTGTCGCTGTTACGTGCTGGATGGTGCACGTGGCAGGAGCTCAGTGGACAACGCGGTGCGCGCGGACTTGGCGCGCGTGAAGGACAACCTGCCGCTGGAGTGGAAGAGCCACGTGGAGGAGCACATGCTCGACGGCGCCGCGTTCGGCACCATTCACAACCATCCACGAGTCAGCTGGGCCGAGCACCGCGCTCCTGAGTGAGTGCAGCTTGGCGTCGCATGACCGTCGCATGGCCGTCGCAAGGTAGTTGCCCCTTTTGCGCATGGCCGTCTATTGTCTCTGGCATTGAGTTTCGGTCGACCATTCACCCACCTCCGTCCTCTTTCCCTCCGTCCTCTCCCCCCCTCGCAGAAACGGTGGCCGTGTTTTCGTGGTGCTCTACGGCAGCATCGGTGAGTTCACCCCACCTCGCAGCACTCCCCGCCCCTCCTTTCTCTCTCGTGCCGTATGTTTTCCTCGCCGCATTGCACTGCACGTCTATCGACTCGATTCGAAGTCGCCAACTCCCTTCCAGCTCCCGCTGAGTCTCCGCGCCTGTTTCCCTCCGCGCTCTTCCCCACTTGACTCTCCCCGCGCGTGTCCCCCTTCCCCGTCCCCCCCCTCCCCCCTTCCGCCCTCCACTTTCCCCAGACAACGAGGACGAGGTGCGCGAGCTGTACAGCCTGCCGAAGCCCGACTGCCCCGACCCGCTGCTCGCCTTCTCCGCCTCCTCCGCGCTGCTGCTCGCCGAGCTCTACTGGAAGGTAAGCCGAGATGAGCGGCGGGGGATGGGGAGGACGGGGGATGTGGGATGGGGTGGGTAAGTTTGGGTGGGGTGTGGGGGTGAGGTGGTATCGGAGAATGTAGGAGGCACCGTGATGCGACGTGGGGTGAGTCGTAGGAGGTGGGGTGAGAATGGCGGCACTGTTGAATGACTGACTCGTGAGTCGCTACCTGGTATTGGACAGCGTGCCGCATGCACGTGCACGTGCATGTCTCCAGCCGCCTCAACATGCTCATTTCTCTTTGCGACTCGACTGCTTGCTCGCTCGCGCCGTGAATGCTGGCTCGGAGGCACTGACCCAAACATACTCCGTTTCTTGAAATATCCCCTGCACTCTCCCACCACTCACCCCCCGCTTTCCCGCTTTCCCGCTTTCCCGCTTTCCCGCTTTCCCGCTCTCCCGCTCTCCCGATTTCCCGCTCTCTACACTTGGCGTCATTGCCCCTCCATGGTCTTCCGGCAGGGGTTCTCCGATGCATATGGCGACTACTCGTCGCAGCCGCAGACGTGCCTCGCCTCCCTGCAGGTGCGGCCCCGGCCCCCTTGTCACCCGCTCCGTTCACGAGCATGGGCATGCGCATGGGCATGGGTATGGGAGGTTCATTTCTTACTTGCGCGCTGTCTCACAGTCCGCCAGGCTCCTGCCCACTCCGACCCATCTGTTTTTCCCATCACATCCTTGCCGTGCTTCCCTCCCCTCCACACCCCTTCTCGTGTCGTCTCTGCCTTAACTGACTTGTGCGTCGTCTGTGCCGCATCACATGTCCTCGTGTGTCGCCGTGGCTGCGTGCAGGGCTCGTGGTCGTTCTGCCTCTTTGATGACGCCAGCCAGTACGTGCTGGCCGCCAGAGACCCCCACCACGGCGCGCCGCTCTTCTGGGCCGCCGTCCAACAAGGTACTGCACTGGGCACTGAGCTCGGGCCACTATGGGCACTGAGCTCAGGGCACTGGGCACTGGACACTGAGCACTGGGCACTGATAGGCACGGAGCACTGGGCACTGGGCACTGATAGGCGCTGAGCTCTGGGCACTGGGCACTGAGCTCTGGGCACTGGGCACTGAGCTCTGGGCACTGATAGGCACTGAGCTCAGGGCACTGGGCACTGAGCACTGGGCACTGAGCACTGGGTGTATGGTCCTGTCTCTCTCGCCCTCTTGCCTGCCATGTCTTTCTCTTGCCGCACGTCTTTCTCTTGTCGTGTGCTGGCATCACACAAGCCATGGTCCTAGGGTTTTTTACACCCTCTCGTAAGTCGTTCCAAAACCGTTTCTACACATGTCGCTGCGCTGCACTGGTTGCCGTACCGCAACCAACCTGTTCTACACATGATCCGAGCACCAACCTGACCTTTGAGTCGATGCAGAAGTCAGCTCACTTGGCTGCTTGCTGTGAGGCACACGTAATCTGAGCACCAACCGATATTAAGCCCTTTCCCTGGCAACTCAAGTCCCCCCTGCCCCCCGTTCACCCATCTACCACCAGCTGACCTGCTCTTCTGCACGTGGAGCACTGCACCTGCCGCCAACTCCATTCCAGAAAATGCTGCACACCCAACTGCCGCTGCCGCTGCCGCTGCTGCTACTGATTCCGCAGCGGATACCGATGCTGCTGCTGCTGCTGCTGCTGTTCCCAACCCTGATACTCCTGACGCCCCTGCTGCAGCTCCTGCCGTTGCTGTCACATCATCGGGCGACAGTGGTCTAGAGGTCCGCGAGTTCCCTGCGGGATGCTTCTATGAGAAGAAGTGGGATGAAACCATTGGCTCTCTCCACAGGTAACATTTGCCCCGTGTGCTGCTGCCGTGCCCCCTGTGCGTCACAGGACCTACCCCTCCCTCCATTTCACGCTGCTTCCAAACCCCTGCAACCTCCTCTTGAAAAACCCCATCATAACCCCTTCCCTGCTGGCTTCTACCTTGTCCTCTTACCTTCATTTGGTTGTTCTCTTGCTGTCTGCTCACCCCCACCCATGTTCCGACCCCCCCTGAGCAGCTATATGGAGGGGGAGACGGAGGAGGAGATGGATCTCACCATGCCCATGCCCTGTGGCACCATGTTCCGCGTCAGCAGGTGACCATGCTTGCATCCACACCCATGCCATGCCGTGCCATGACATCTCATGCCATGTTGTATGCTTAGCCATTCCATGCTATGCTGTGCCATGCCATGCCATGCCATGCCATGCCATGCCATGCCATGCCATGCCATGACATGCCATGCCATGCCATGACATGCTGTGTCATGTTATTAGGGCCTGAATATCTTTCTCTTGCTTTTATCCTTGTCCCACTCCCCCCCCCTCCTTCCTCCCCTCTTTCCCCATGCCCAACATCTCTCCTCCCCACGCTCCTCCTCTTTCTCACTCCCCTTCCCACCCACTGTGCAGTGGAAGCGACCTTGCAGGGCCCAAGCCAGGGAGTTTTGCCATGTGAACAACCTGGGAGCAGGGGGGACTGCATAGTCTTCGTTGAGCTCTTGGTCAGCCTGCCGGGCGAAAGCTTGGCTGCTGTAATTATGCAGGCTGACCGCATGGTTCCTCTGTATATTCCTTCTGACTTCCCTAGCGTTTTTGCCTTGCCTATGAACAATAGAATAAAAGATATACCGTATTCCCCCGGATAATGGACCCGCAGGTAAGAAAGTCCATGGGTCCTTTACCCGGGGGTGGGATCATTTATTTTGGCAGACCTCGTGAGGACCTGCTTTTTGGCATTTAACATCTCAAGACCCCCCAGCTTTGTTTTCGTGCTGGTTTTTGCACTCAGAATGGAAATTGCAGCCCAAGTCTTTTTTAAAATGAAACGGTACATGAAATCAAGGATCAGAAGTTAAAAGACTAAGCAAATTAGGGTTTGTCAATTATGTTCTGAGATTTATCCCAAATATGGCGGGGGTAACTGCACCGTTAACTGACATGCTGCAGAAACGGACTGAGTATAGGTGGGGGAGGAAGAGCAAGTTGCCTTCTCTATGCTCAAAACATTTCTGTACTCAACCCCTGTGCTTCGCATCGCCGATCCTCACCATCCATTCGAAGTGATGACAGACGCCAGTGACATCGCCATGGGAGCAGTCCTGCAACAGGACTTCGGTGAAGGACTACAACCAATCGCATACAAGTCACGAAAGCTGCACCTGCTCGAGCAAAATTATCCAATACACGACAAGGAGATGCTCGCAATCGTGCATGCCTTCAAGGTGTGGCGGTGCTACTTGATGGCCGTGGACGTAACAGTATGGACAGATAGCGCACAGCCACTACTCAACCCACGACATTTCGGTGGTTGGAATTCATGGAGTCCAACTTCCATGATACGGTCACCTACTAAAAGGGGGCATCGAATATTGCAGACCCCCTTTCTCGCCCATCCGCCCATCTCAACTCCATTATCCCCGCCCGAACATCCCCGCTATTAACATGCATATTTACCCACGGGTACCCGACAGACAGCCTCTTTACGTCGGGTGCGTGCAAACAGTTTGCAACAGCTAAGGGATTTGAAAACGTAGAGGCAGGGACTGACCGCATATGGGTACCAGAGTATAGTTTATGACGAGAATCACTGTTACAGAAAGCCCACGACAGTACTGTTTCGGGGCATTTCAGAGTGGAGAAAACACGGCAGCAGTTGACCAGATACTATTTCTGGCCTAACATGCAAGGGGACGTGCAGCGGCATATGGTTTTGGGTAGAACCTGCCAGACCATGAAATCATAGAAGCAGAAGCCAGCTGGACAGCTGCAGCCGATTCCGCCGCCGAAGCGTGCGTGGCAGCAGGTGACGATGGACTTCATCACGGGATTGCCTGCCAAGGACGGTTGTAAAGACACGATATTTGTCGTCGTCGATAAGCTGACGAAGATGGCCAATGTTGCCACCTGCAAGAAAAGCATCTCAGCCGAAAAAACAACCCGCCTTTTCATCTCAACCGTCGTTCGCCTTCACGGAATTCCATCCTCCATCATTTCGGAAAGTGACACGAAATTCACCAGTAACTTTTGGCGCAACCTCTTGGAACAGTTTGGCACGCACCTGCAATTCTCCTTCGCCTACCACCCCGAGACTGACGGACAGATCGAACAAGCCAATCAGACAATGGAGCAGCTGATTCGTGCCACCTACGATGGCGTGGCCGACTGGGAGCAGCAACTGCCACTGATTGAGCTCGCGTATAATAACGCCCCATCAGCCACTATATGAAAGTCACCATCCTGTTAAAGTAAGAACTGAATGATGAACTAGAAGGAGAAACCTAGAACAAATACTAGTTGGTTGTACTCACTAGAAGCATACCTCAGTCTAGTCTATAACTTCTACATAACTAATATGTATAAGTTGACACACCCCCTAGGCTAGACAAGGGGTGAGGCTAAGCAAGAAGCAAACAGCTCAGGGTGGCACTACTAGTCCAACCACTGAGGCAGGGGTCTGGAGACCAGTCAGCAAGAGTACAAACAAGACTAAAGCAAGCCAGGGCGGCACTACTAGTCCAGCCACTGGAGGTAAGGCCACAAGGCCAGTCTGACAGGTATATATAATAGAGAGTACATAATCAGGATCCTAACAGGTGAGTAGCTACATGAACAAGACCAAGCTGTACACAGTGCCGCTGATGATCTTTAGGCGCAAGCGCCTTAGTAAAGATATCAGCTGTGTTGGCACCGGAGGCCAAGTGTACTACACAAGCCTGGCGACGCTGCTGTAACTCGCGTAGGAGGAAGTACCGCAGCTGGATATGCTTCGCTCTGCCCTCAAGCCGAGGCTCCTGACACAGGAGTATCATGGCCCTGTTGTCAGCGTACAGGACCGGGGCAGAGCTAGGCCGCTCACCTAAGTCAGTGAGCAAGAAGGTCAGCCAGCGGAGCTCCTGTGCCGCCATGGCGCCAGCGTAGATCTCAGCCTCACAGCTGGACTGAGCAACAGACGACGAGCGAGTGGATCTCCAAGAGATAGCACCCGAACCAAGGCTAAAACAGTAGCCCTGCGACGACCTGAGCGTCTCAGAGTCGTCTGCCCAAGAAGCGTCTGTGTGCCGAGTAAGGACCACTGGCCTGCGTCCTCCTAGCACTAACCCCATGCCCAATGTACTAGCAAGATAACGCAAAACCCTCTTAGCGGCAGACCAGTGCTGAGGTCCGTGTCTGCCTATAGCCACAAAGCGAGCCAGGATGCTGAGAGGGTATGCGAGATCTGGGCGAGTGCAAGTCATCAGGTACATGAGGCAACCCACCAGCTCTGCGTAGGGACCACTGGGCTCTACTAGCTCCTCAGGAACGGGAGCGGAGAGCCCATGGTCTACAGGTAGAGGTGTGGGCTGTGCGGAGGAGAACTAAAGACCGAACCTCTGAAGGACCTTACACACCAAGTGTGACTGTGTGAGAGTGATGGTGCGTGCTGCTCTGTCCCTAGAGATCTGCAGGCCAAGATAGCAACGCAGCTCTCCAAGGTCAGTGCAGGTGTGTATCTTCAGCAGCTCGGCCAGTGCGTCCCTGTCAGCAGTAGCGAAGACCATGTCGTCTATGTAGACAAGGATGTAGAATGGAGTCTGGCCGGAACTCACAAACAGCGACGCGTGAGCAGAGGACGGAAAGAACTGCAGGTTTGCTAACGTGGCACGCAGCGTATCGTGCCACTCGCGGGGAGCCTGACACAGGCCGTAGACCGGGCGCCTGAGAAGCCACTGGATCCCAGGGGGGAAGGTACCACTGAAGCCCTGTGCTCGGCGCAGGTAGACCTGCTCGTGTAGGCTGCCTTGAAGAAAGGCAGTAGAGAAGTCGAGGAAGTGAAGGTCATAGTCGCGCTGTGCTGCTACGTGTAGCAGCGCCCGAAGAGTGGTCATCTTCGAGGTCGGGGCGAAGGTCTGGAAGAAGTCAACCCCCTTGCGCTGACTGAAGCCTCTGGCCACGTAGCGCGCCTTGAAGATAGGCGGCTCTCCAGGGGGGCGCTTCACCTTGAAGAGCTAGCGACCATCGACTACGTTCACCCCAGGCGGGGGAACTGCGTCGACGTAAGTGCCGGTGGACCTCCAAGATACCATCTCCTGCTCCATGGCAGCTATCCACTGAGAGGCCCAAGGTCCCGAGGTGGCCTCAGCGTGGGTGCGAGGGGTCGGGATGTCGAAGGCGTCTGGGTCACTCTCAGGGACTAACAGCATGGAGCAAAGATGGGGAGCAGCCTCGGAAAGGAAAGCAAGCTCGTACTGCCTGTCCTCTAGGACGTCACTGCCAAGGGCAGGAGCACCCCCGACGGACTGAGGACGGGCAGGGTCAGAGACCAGAGCGGTAGCGTAGTCAAGGCGGCGGGTGGAGGCGAAGTCAGCGACAGCAGCGACAAGCACGTCAAGGCGCGAGACAGGAATAGAAGGGTCGGTAACAAGAGAGGCAAGGACCTGAGGGACAAGGGGACGAGCGGCACGGAGGTAGTCAGAGAATGGAGGAAGTGCAACAGCAAGGGACGAGGGAGGAGGGGACGGGAGGAGGACGAGACGAGAGGGAACGGAGCAACATAGGGTGGGAGCACAGGACAGGAGAGACGGGACGAGCACGGGAGGGACGGCGAGACCAAACGTGGGACGGAGGTGTAGGGTCTGGAGACAGCGGAGGGGACACAGGGGGGGAACGAGGAGGAAGACGGGCTGGAGAGGAGTCTGGCGGCGGGAACACAGGACCGTAGACAGGAAGGTCAGCAGGCGGTGGGGGAGATACGGGCAAGCGGTCCGAGGAGGGAAGGCCGAGCAGGCGGAGAGTGGAGACCGGCGGCAACGGCTGCTGTGGCTGCTGCGACGGCTGGGCCGGAACCCTCGGGCTGGCAAAGGCAGGACGACCGTCGGTGGAACCCTCAACAGCAGCACCCCCAGATTCAACACCCCCAGAGCGAGAACCCCCTCCAACACTGACGGCACCCCCAGGAGCCGCAGGACGAGCACCCTCCTCCACACCAGCACCCCCAGGGGTCAAGAGCGGCGACGACGGCAGCGGCGGCGACGGCGGCGGCGGCTGCGGCGGAGGCGGCGACTGCGACAGTGGAGGCAAAGACACAGGGGAAGGGGGACGCGGCAAGGACGGGCCGGGGGTACCACCAGAGTCAGCGGACTCCTCAATGGGGACAACCGACGGGAGGGGAGTGACATGAGAGACACCAGACGAGGCAGGGCGAGGCGGGAGAAGAGCAGGGGCTACCGGGGGAGAGGGAGCAAGGAACAGGGGCAGGGCAACCGGGAGACCACGGTGAGGGAAGCGGCGATAGAAGGAGACAGACTCGTCAAAGGTGACGTCACGAGAGTGGAGGAAGCGGTGAGACGGCGGGTGGTAGAAAAGCCAGGCAGACGAGTCCAGGGGGCTTGAGCGGTGAACAGTGCGGGCAGTGAGCTTGTCCGTGCCAGAGGCACGAACGTGAGCAAGGCAGCCCCAGACATGGAACGCAGACATGTCACCTGGGGACCCGGTCCACAGGAGGGTCGGCGAAACCTGCGGCCGCTGGGAGCGTGGCCACAAGTTAAGCTGGTGAGCAGCGTAGCGAACAGCAAACGGCCACAGAAAATGGGGGGCATCGGCGTGAATCATGGAGGTACGGGCGACCTCCATGACCAAGCCGATGCGGCGCTCAACAACCCCATTCTGCTGTGGCGAGTCCGGCAAGGTGTACGACTGGGTGTACAACAACCGCACGACAAAACTGTCCAAGCCAACCAGAGGCGAACTCGCCGCCACGGTCAGAGTGGAGACACAACACGGGGAGACCGCGGTGAAGACGCGCAGCCACAACCTACGGGAGAAGA